GCCGTCGGGCCAATCCCTGCACTGGCAGTCAGCTGCGTCTCCGCGAACACACGCGCGCGGAACTCGGACGCAACATCCGCCGCAGTCATGCTAGGGTGAGCCCGCAGGTACGCCGTCACCTCCATCGTCAGCTCGTCAAGGCCCACGCTAGTGAAGTTGGGGTCGTACTCGGCCGCAATTCCCCGCACCACGGCGCTCTCCGCACGGTACGCGTCAAAGTCGGTTGGCACAATGACGAGTGAGGGGCACAGCTTCCTGCCAATATACCCTGGCATCCCGGAGCGCACACCGTATCGTCGCGCTACGTAGTTGGTCGTAGACAGCATATCGAGGCTCCCTACACCCACCGGGAGATCCAAAAGCGCGGGATTCTTCTTCATCTCCACAGCGGCATAAAACATATCCATGTCTACGTGCACATAATTGCGGAACTGGCGCTCTGCCTCCAGCTCCATCTCGCACGTTTTTGCCTTCTCTTTCAATGCTCGTTTAGCGGTTGTGGAAAGATGGAGATATTCTTCCGCTTTCGACAAAAGTTCCATATGACGCTTCTGTCGCTGCGCCTGCATTCGTTCTTCATTGAGATAAAAGGGCGATCTCCTAGATGACTTTGCAATGACATTATTTACGTACGCCTTGTCAACACTGGAAAGGCCCGCCTTTGTTGTGTCCAGCTGCAACTTGCTCAATGTCGTATTACCTTGTTTCTGTCCTTGTCTTTGTCGAAGGAAGGGTGCTGCGGCAACGAGTGCCCAGCAGCGCCGCATCGTCGTCAGGTACACTGATGATGCCTTTCGTCCACGTGTTTGTTTATTACCACCACTCCGTAAAGAGAAGGGGTTCACGCCTTTTGTATGGTTTTAAAAAACCGGAGCCGAGGTGAGGTGAGGCGGGACGGGACGGAGTGAGGGAGGAGTGAAAAAGATTTCTTTTTTTTTTTTTCACCTCCTTCCTTCAACTTCGGCTCCTTCCGACCCCTCTGCTTCTACACGGCTACATGAGTAATTACATAGAGAGAGAATAAAACACAGAAACGATGTCATTATAACTCTTCTGCAGCCACTCGTCTTATTCATTTGTTCGCTTGCTCCCCTCCCATTCCTGCAGTAGAGCCTACAGACACACAATCCGCCCCTCTGTCACCGTACACCTTTTTTTTCCTCCATTCACCAGACAGGAGACAAAACACATACACACAGATACACTTACGTTACTAACACTGACACTGCTGTGGTAGGAGTTGCCTCAGGAGCCTGTCGTCACAAATCACACTTCCCTACATAACGCCGACCCCGCCACGGCAAGACAGGGGTGCCAGCACGGTTGCTGGCAGCAGAGTGCATCTACCGGTAGCCACCCACGTGTAATGTTATTGTCAAATTTTTGACGTGAATATGCGGCGCACAATGCCGCAGCACAGGGCCCCTTCAAATACGCGTTACACAGTCCACTTGAACGATACCCGCGATCCCTCACGGAGTCGTTTATCACCCACCGCACCACAGACCCGTGGGGACGGATTCAGACCAGCATCCCCCACCAAAGCTAGCCGCTCCAAAAGTGTGCTGCTATCAAAAGGCGCAAGTGGCGCTGGTAAAGAAAAAACTCCCGATTCAATGCGATCCAATGCGTCCCGTAGAAAAGTCATTTCCCGCAACTGCGCGCCTAAAGTGTCCTCTAACACGGCACAGTTTGCTCGAGCTGTCACTGCAGCCTCCCTCTCATGCGCGTAGTCCCTGCGAAGCTGCTGCAACTCCAGACGAAGCACATCAAGCTCCAGTGCATCGTGTTCCCCCCCGTTGTCCCCGCTCTTCACGTGGCGTGTTCACACTTGGAGTGTCTGCAAAAAGTGCCACTGGAACAGAGACACGGGGCTTTGGTTCCCTTTCTTCCTCATCATTTTTAGATTTCTTTGATTCTGCATGCCACTGATGTTCCTCTTCTGTAGTTTGAACAGCAACAGGACGACGGTAGACATCCGTCGTCTGGCACGCCACAGCTGAGGTGTCTTGACTCGTCTGCGTCGTATTATTGCGTCTACCGCGCCGATTTCGCTCAATGACAGCAGCAGCCCTCTTTAAAAGCGTATGCCTCGCCTCTCTCTTCTCGTATTCCTCAGCTGACTGAAGCCGCCGCGTCAACTCCATCAACTCCGCCCGTGTAGCGTCGAGCTTCCCTCGCCACCCACCATGAACCTCCTTCAGTTCAGCCTCATGCTGCTCAACAATGCCCTCTACCTTACACCGGTAGCTCTCATGGGCGTCATGTGCCTCCCGTTCAAATGCGTCAAGCAAGGAATCATGATCCCTGTGCCACAGTTGAAATAGAACGGTTGCGTTTTCCAAAAATACACCGTGCTGTAGCAGCATTAACGCCTGCATGTGCTGCTGCATGGACGCCACGAAAACAGGGATAGCAGTTACCACCTTCTCCACTTCATCGGTAAAAGCGCGTGCACAGCGAAGGATGTCAAGACACTGCTCAAGGTCCCGTGTCAGGGCAGCGTTGGCACATTGAAGTGTAAGGATGGTGGCAGAGCAGGTGGGTGTCCTTGCCCGTGTGGACGCCGCTATGCTGTCCTGTGACGCATGTAGGAAGCTGTGACTGCACAAGTACTTCATTCCGCTGACAGTTGCAGCCACTGCAGGTGCTCATTCACTTCCTTGGTAGCACTTTGGCGACGCCAAAAAAAAAAAAGGCAGGCGAAGCAGAAAGTGAGGATTTGACAACAAGAGCAGCACAACAACAATAAACACGTAAGCGTCACAAACAACCGGTGTGCAAAGCACACTCGTCACCGCGCAATGACGCTCCGAAAAAAAAAAAAACAGTACCCACAAAGAACACACGGAGAAGCAAAAGATTAAAAAAAATTCAAGACCTACGTTCGCTCTCGCGTTGATTCATGCCTCACAGACTGAAACGGAAGAAATAAAACGGAGAAGGAAAAAAAAAACGGGAAAAACATGGCCATTCCGCCCAGCCATGCGCCCAGCCATGCGATCTTTACAAACACACCTACGCAAAACACTGTCGACACCCAACTGCCAGACGCGGAGCACTCATGACATGTCAATTGGTCGCGGCTCTCCCACACTACGAGGCCCGGCAGCAACGAGAAAATTAAAAGCAACTGAGGGCGTGGAGGCAGGTGAATGGAAGGAGGAAAGAGTTCCCTTGAGAGATACAGACACGTGCAACTCACGAAGAAAGACAACAACTGCCGCCCCAGTCCCCCGTTTCCACCTGCCCCAAAAAAGCAAGGGACGAAGACAAAAAATCACCCACAGTTAGGTTTCATGCTCAATCAATCACAATAACATTTTCCGCCGCGCTACCACCCTCTGACCGCCTCAGCTTCGCCGGGGGACTCACACACACCACATCATCATCAGCAACAAAATCATCCGATGTCCCCTTATTCGCTGAGCAAATCCACAGTTCGCTACCATTATTGTCATTCTTCAACTCCTCCTCTCCATTTACAAGGCGCTTTTTCCCACATGTTACCAGATTTTCCCTCGCATTGCTGTGAGTGCAGTAATGCAACAAGGTGCGCTGTACGTTACCCCGCTGAAGGATCTCGTACTCCGCCTTTGTCATTAGGTCCGCCAGCCGGACACCCACCAGCCTAAAGGAGGCATACTGGTCCGCAATAGGAAGCAGCAGCTCGTCAACCCCACGGCGGAGAGTCTCGAAGTCATCCAAGTGTTGTGACAAATTTTTGGAGTACTGATGTACCTCAAAGCTTACTCGCTTCGTCTTTAGGACAATCTGCCGACAAACCAATTCCTTTTCCTCAAGTCCCCTGTGCGCATGAAGCAGGGCTGAGTGCGCAATCTGCTGCAGATCCAAGCGACTCGAGAGATTTCTAAAGGTACGCTCCATGCCGATAGACTTCCGTTCCGCCCCTGATGCACGTTCAGTTCCATCAGGCGCGTCTGCGTCCATCCAGCGCACTATGCCCATGGAAGAACCCAGAAGAAAGCGAAACGTTTTCTCCGTTAAGACATAGCACAACTCAACACGCCGATCGTAAATGTCCCCAAGAGCGTTGATGCCTAGACCCTGAAGGATGCTTTCAGTCGAACGGCCAATCCCAGGCACGGTTCGCACCGGAAGGTTCTTCATAAAGTCCATCACATCCTCGCGCGTCCGAAGCTGCAGCTCGTGCTGGCCGTTCGGTTTCTTGTAGTTGCTCGCAATCTTGGACAGTGTCGCCGTCGGGCCAATCCCTGCACTGGCAGTCAGCTGCGTCTCCGCGAACACACGCGCGCGGAACTCGGACGCAACATCCGCCGCAGTCATGCTAGGGTGAGCCCGCAGGTACGCCGTCACCTCCATCGTCAGCTCGTCAAGGCCCACGCTAGTGAAGTTGGGGTCGTACTCGGCCGCAATTCCCCGCACCACGGCGCTCTCCGCACGGTACGCGTCAAAGTCGGTTGGCACAATGACGAGTGAGGGGCACAGCTTCCTGCCAATATACCCTGGCATCCCGGAGCGCACACCGTATCGTCGCGCTACGTAGTTGGTCGTAGACAGCATATCGAGGCTCCCT